TAAATCGATTCCAATTTATTTTTACAACTTTTAAAACTTACATAATAGTAGGATCATTTTGGCGGTTCAGAAACCACCGCTGCTGACCCTGCCGACCCTTGCCGACCATGCCGACCATGCCGACCCTGCCGACCCTTGCCGACCCTTGCCGACCATGCCGACCACCACCGCCGCAGCCGCTGCCGCCGCCGCCGCCGCCTCCCACCACCACTCACTCCCTCTCTTCCGTAAGATCGCGTACGTGCGCGACGTACATTATCAGTTATCACATATTATTGTTATCACACGATATCACACATTATTGTTATCAGTTATAATATATTATCACTTGTTATCATTTGTTATGTTATCATATATTTAAAAAATATAATATTCTGCGTTAGAATCGAACCGGGTGGATATCATTGTCCTACCTCGACTCTTAAACAATATAGTCAATACTGCTATATTTAAATACACGCTAAATAATATACATAATCATATAAATATTCTCATAACGTATAGTTCCCTCTTATATTTTTAGAAAAAATAATAAAATGTAATTAAATATAGACTTCCTCGCCATTTATATTGAAAGAAACTTATAAAATATTCACACACCACCTGGACATTAGTGATTGAAAGACATTTTCTCCCATTAGACAGTAAAATTAATGTCTATTTTATTTTGGCGCTGTATTGAAATTAGTAATAGTTCAATTAAGGACGTTTGGCACCGTATTGACAATAAGCTATGCGAATACAATTATCGATATAATGGCCTTTAATCGCCAGGATGTCGCGGACTCTTAATAGCCGCTATATATATCGATATCCACACAATACCTTGTAAAAACTATCGTCGTCGCTCCGACGTTTGGCGTCGGATTGACAATAAGATACATTTCCTATCATTAGGATTATTCGTTATACTTAATGATATTAAAATACCTATTTTAATGAAAAACATATTATTGTCCGATATTAGTACCTTCTGTCGGACGTATCTTCATACAGTGTAATATCAATAAAGTATCATTAGCTGACCAATACTTAGACAGTGATTATATTCATGTATAATTAAAGAAAATCAATTAAAAATTAGCATACCAGCTTGAGTACGGGTATAATTAGGAAAATACTCTTTTTATATTCTGTAAGAGCCATCAGTTCTTCAGTACGTTTTAAACCGTTGTACACGTATTTCTTCTCTCTAAGTCTTTAAAAAAATTTATAGTGTTTAATTTTTAAATATTATTTTTTGAAATTCTTAAACAACATGCTTAAATGCGATCAGTGTCCATCCACGTTTACACGTAAAAGTAATTTGAAAGCTCATCAAAAAAATCACGATGGTGTTCGTTTCACGTGTACTGTTTGTGCGTCGATCTTCAGCTACAAATGTCATCTGAATAGACATATGAAGAACAAGCATGGTATGTTTAATATTTATTTTATGATCTGTAAGGTTTAATATCTAATTCAATATTTATTTTATAAGCTATTGCTCGAGGTGAAATTATAGTACCAGGTCCATCAAATCATACTCACAATGCTAATAATACGCTGGACGAATATTTTAATGATGGGTATGATGAAATGTTAGCGGAAATGCCTGAAAATGATCAAAGTGAGATTTTACAATATTAAAGATAGAACTTTTTTTAATAATAATTTATTTCCAAGGCTCTTTTACGACTCATCGTCAACCGGTTACATCTATTGTTGCCCAACCAGAACCGCAAGGTGTTAAACAGTTAACGCCTTTGCCTACTACACAGGGTCATATTCAGATTGCCCCTCAAATATTTGTTCCCGATGACCCGGCCGGTGGATCAAACACGGTTTCCAACAATTCACCATCCAATAACGATTTTCGTATTCCCATGGTGGATGAAACTCAGGACTCGGAAGATGTTATTACAGGTTAGTTTTATTTTAAAATAATTTACGCGCCGTGGATTAATTACACAAAGACATATGTCGTTATATTTTAATAGATATACCAATAAGTTTTATTTATCAGTCACGGGGTCAAAAATATTTATAATAGAGTCGAAATTTTTTTTTTTTTTAAAGATTCTTACACTACATGTGTAAATGGTAAACGGGTTTCCACTGCAAACACCGCCTCGGCAGCTAGGGTGAAAAAAGCTAGGATGGGTATGGTTAAGACTCCCGGGTTCGCAGAAATTTCCTCGTCTGCGAATCGAAAAATAGTGTGGTATTATGCCAAAAATATTAACAATGTTCAAAATTACCCTGACTTTCTCCACTCGCTCGAGCCCGAGCTAAATCAAATATTAAAAACACGCGTTCAGCAAGGGGCGATTAAATTTAATCTTAAGCTCGAGGCGACCTATAACCGAGCCAACGTACCAAATTCGTTGGAGAACCGAGCGTTTAAAACAACAGCGACCGAAATTTTCATGCATACGGATATCGACTCAATAGTAGAACAAGCGTTCGTAAAATTATTAGCTGAGGAAGACGCTTATGTTTACCGCGGTAGTGGCTTTACTTTGGAAGCCATAGACGGTTTATTATTAGGAATATACAATTACACACCAATGGCTGGATCGTCATATATTAAATTACCGGCATATATAGATAGGAAACGGGCCACCATCAACCCACAAAACAATGACCAGCAATGTTTCAAGTGGGCTATATTAGCTAAGCATGTGACTGAACAACCAAAATATCGTATTGGTGAAAATTATCGCCAACACGAAGGAAAATATAATTTTGATGGTATTTCGTTTCCAACACCGCTATCAGATATTTCTAAATTTGAAAAAAATAATCCGAACGTCACTGTGAATGTGTATGGGTTAGACAAAAAGTTACAGCCACCGCGTAAATATCCGACGTATGAGGTGTACCCGCTACGTGTCGCCGATGAGGAGAAAGCCAACCACTTTGATCTGTTGTCGGTGACGGATGACGAAAACTCGCACTACATCTACATCTCGAATTTTTCCCGCCTTATACGCTCGCAAAAAACTCAACATGAAAGTCAGGCAATATTTTGCAAAAGATGCTTTACATCATTTCACAAACAAAATTTAAAGCATAAATTAAGCGGGCAGGCAGCGCTAGAACACCACAGATTAATATGCGGCCCGCATAAACCCATACTACCGAAAATGCCTGAAGATGGAACAGTTCTTGAATTTAACGCTTGGCAAAACGCACAAAGACATCCTATTGTTATATATGCCGATTTTGAGGCTCTGCTTGTAAAGACTGATGAGGAAAAGGGTGATAATACAACAATCATACAAAAACACCGTCCTATGAGCTATGGTCTCATTGTGAAGGCGAGTGAAGATGTACCGACAGAGCTATTGAGTGAACACAATATACCAACGGAACCGGTGATCTACCGAGGAAGTGAGAGTCAGCCTGATGTGGCGAGGCATTTCATCGAAACCGTGACGGATATATCGTTGAATATAGAGAAATTATTGAAGACGAATATTCCGATTAATATGTTCGCAGACGACATACAAGTTCATGAAGCAGCGACGCACTGCAATCTATGCAAATGCGATGTTAATAACTACACCCGTATTAGAGATCATGACCACTTGACCGGGAAATTTAGACAGACTTTATGCAGTAGATGTAATTTAAGTCTTAAACAACCGATATACGTACCAGTTTTCATTCATAATCTGACCAACTATGATGCTCATTTTATAGTAACAGAACTTGGTTATGATTCACATAGAATAAAAGTAATTCCAAACAGCGAGGAGAAATTCGTTACTTTTTCGAAATATATAAGTAACAATTTTACGTTCAGATTCGTGGATACATTCAGATTTATGGCTACACGCTTATCAACACTCGCCGCCAATCTAATAACACCAAACTTGGAAAAATTCCGCATAACCGCAAAACATTTTTCCAATAATGATCTACCGCTTGTCACCCGTAAGGGTGTATATCCTTATGACTTCACTGATGATTGGGCTAAGCTTGAACAAACAACATTACCTGCAAAAGAGGACTTTTATAGCACCTTAACAGAAGAATACATAAAAGAAACTGAATATCAGTTTGCGAAAGACGTATGGAGTCATTTCAATTGTCAAACGTTGGGCGAGTATTCAGATCTTTACCTGAAAATTGATGTATTGCTTCTAGCGGATGTATTCGAAAATTTCCGGGATTTATGTTTGAGCACATACAATTTGGATCCAGCATACTATTTTACAGCACCAGCGTTTTCTTTCGATGCAATGTTGAAATACACCTCAATAAAACTGGATTTACTATCGGATTATGAAATGCTATTAATGATTGAAAATGGTTAGTATAATGGAAATTATTTTTATTCAAACGATAATACGATATCACTTTTATAGGTATTCGAGGAGGACTTACACAGGCCAGCATGCGGTACGCAAAAGCTAACAATGAGAGAACACCTGATTATAACCCAGCAGACCCAAAATCCTGGCTTGTCTATCAGGATTGCAAGTTAATCTATACATTATTATTATTATCATAAAGCTAATTTTATACTTTTAAAACCCTAGGCAATAATCTTTACGGTTGGGCAATGTCACAGTTCATGCCCTACGGAGGCTTCAAGTGGGTCAAACCGTCTCTTAACGGATTAGCTGATTTGAACGCGACTTCCCCCATAGGACGGTTCTATGAAGTCGACATAACTTATCCGAAAGAACTTCACGATAAACACAACAGCTTGCCATTTTTACCACAAAACAGTATACCACCAGGCTCAAAAGTGCAGAAACTCGTGGCTACGTTTAAACCGAAAAAAAATTATGTTGTTCACTATCGCAACCTCCATCAAGCCTTGAACAATGGTCTCATAGTTGAAAAGGTGAATATTATATTACATGTTTTTTTTTATCATAGAATTATTAACAATTATGTTATAGGTTCATAGAGTTGTTCAATTTAACCAGTCTGACTGGTTAGCCAAATACATTGCGTTGAATACCGAGATGCGAAAAAAGGCAAAGAATGAATTTGAGAAGGATTTCTTTAAGTTATTAAACAACGCTGTATTCGGTATGTTATTATAGAAAAAAAAAAAAAAAATTATTTTAATTATTGTCTTTATCATATGATTTTCATGCAGGAAAAACCATGGAAAACGTTCGTAAACGCATGGAAATGGAACTTGTATCGTGTGATAGACGTTTACAGAAATTAATAAACAAATCGACATTTAAACATTGCACTACGTATTCTGAAAACCTAAATGCTATAACATTGGAAAATAAGATCATCAATTTTTGCAAACCTATTTATATTGGTAATTTTTCTATTAATAATATATACATATATAAAGGTATTATTGAGATTTTTAATGTACATAGGTCTCGCGGTTCTTGACATAAGCAAAAGTTTAATGTATGATTATCATTATAATGTGATGCGAAAACACTA